TGTAGACCCCAGGAGGGAGGGGGCGGGAAATTTCCGGGAAAAAAAAGCCCAGCCGGGGTTAAAAGGGGGTTCCCGGGCAAATGGGGTTTAAGAAACCCCCTGTTCTAAAAAAAAAAAAAAAAAAAAAGAAAGAAAAGAAAGAAAGAACGGAAAGAAAAAGGCAAAGAAGAGAAAAAAGGAAAAGAGCAGAAGAGGAAAGTTATTCGTGGAAGAGAAAAGAAATAAACACATATCAGAGGCCAGCTACTAAGTGCTCTAAAGAAAAGTGAAGTCAGGTAAGGAAACAGAACTGTGGAAGCCAGTGCTAATTTATGCAGATGGGCTGGCAAACCTTATTTATAAAGTAACATTTGAGCAAAGGCTTAAAATGACACATAAAATGAACAATGTGGCTATCCAGTGAGAATACAGAAAGAACTGAAGCAAGAACAAAAGCTTCACTAGCAAGACGCCTAGTGTCTCTGAGGTAGAGCAAAGAGGATAATATAGCCGGGTCACAGGAAGCAAGAGGAAGATAAATAAAACGAAACATCAGAGAGCTAACCAGAGATCAATGTCGCATCAGACCTTTAGGTGTATGGTACTCTGTCTGGATTTTATTGAGAAAACTGAGAAGTCTAGGAGCCTTACTGACACAGTTGGGTTTTTGGTTTTGGGTTGCTCTAGGGGCTGAGGACATGACTCGGCAGGTAGGATTGCTTGCTGTGCAAGCATGAGGACCTGAGTTCAAATCCCTAGCACCTATGTAAAAAGCCACAAGTAGTCCACATGAGAAATGATGGTGACTTCACCTAGGGAAATAATACCTCAGATGATTAGAGATGGAGGATAGTTAGAATTTAAAAAATATTTTATTATTTTTATTTTATGTGTATGAGTATATTGCCTGCATGTATGTGAGTGCACCTGTGTCGTGCAATGCCACGAACATCAGAAGAGGGTTTCGGACTCCCCTGGACCTGGAGTTAAGGATGGTTTGTAGCCGCCATGTGGGTGCAGGTCCTCTGCAAGAGTAGTCAGTGCTCTGCTCTAGTAGTCAGTGAATTTTTTAATGTAATTCAAAAAGGAAGTGAGGAGAATTTGATTAATTGGATGAATATCTAGAAGAATGGGATTATCATTTATGGAAGTAGAGATTCAGCCAAGATTTTAGTTATTGGTGTTCTTCCTCTGTTTTATTTTTTATGGAGGGATCCAGATTTCATCTTCAGGTATATCAAGTAATCTACATAGGTAAAGCATAACTGTAACATGTTGGGTGTCGACTGCCAAATGTATATTAATCTGGAGGTTGTAGGAAAGCTCAGAACATCAACCCATGATCCATCTGCCATTCAAGAAATTTTGGATGTCAGGGATTGAGTACAAACGTAAGAGGACTAAGATGCAAAGACCAAATTCTGAGTCTTTGAGGCTTAGATTCTGAAAAGATGAGAAGGATCTAACAGACTAAGG